GTGCAAAGGTACCGGTAGTTTCCCTTGATAACATTTGTAAGTTAAAACAGGACTCGCTTGTAACAGGGAAAAACTGTCTGCCCTGTTACATCCGAGTTTGACTATAAAGGCAAAAATGACATTCTCAGAGTCAGTTATCAAGTTATGTGGAATGGTTCTGAGTAAACAATTGAAAAGCAACAATCTGTGGTACAGTCAGATAGGAACATCATCAAAACAGGAAAGTTGTGAAATCAAATAAGTTCCATCAAAATTCTTTTGCCTACAAATATAGTTTTCTTCTCTAGTTAACACTTTGCGACAAGTCCGTTACAGTCGCTCACCTGGCAGGGTGACCAGATGGGGTATTTTGTACTGCTGGCCGTGGGACTGCAAAGTGTTTAAGTTTAAGTCCTATGACTGTGAGTGTCAAGGGGTAGTGTGCTCAACATTCAAAACAATGGATTAGGATCCAGTTGGGTGTGGTGCACTTCAATGAAAACAAAGCACATACGATGCATGTACAAAATATAATTTTTAAAAAAATGAACGTAGAGAAACCATTGTCTTGAGATATAAAATTGTTTTATTTTTGACATTTGTATACATGATAAGTCCACCAGCATCTCCCCATATATTGACAAGCAAAAGAGAAATATACATGTAATACCAATAGGCCCCTAAAAGCATCAGCAAATGTTAGGATTCCAACCCAAGCAGTTAAAACACAAGAAATTTGCTCCTCTTTTTAAACAAAGACAGAGATATTTTAAAACGGAGTTGATAACAATCAGGTTAGGAATGCACTTGGGATGTGACCAACCAGATGTACCACCTGTACTCGGAAGAAGGATCATTTTCATACTAATCAACTATGTAAATCCGCACCCATTGGCTATGCGAGCCTCACAGGCTTGTTAAGCACTGCAGGATTTCAGAAAAAGGGTCGTTCATTGTTACCCCCTCCTGTACTATTAATATCTTGATTTAACAGAACTAGAGAATAATAATGATGTAATATGCAAGCCTGATGGCCATAACAAAAATGAAAGGACAGAAATAAATTCATAACATTTCAACCTGAATCTATTTGATGAGTGAAGAGCGCACAAACTTCCAATCTAAATCAATTATCCTTCCTCAGATCTCATTAAGAATAGAACTAAGATGTTAGTTCCAACATGGCCCTGAACGATTAGACAAATATTTGACTTGCTGGTACACAACTGAAAACAGATAGAAAAGGATGCTCAGGAGAGGCTTCCCTGGAGTAATGCTGTTGATGGCCTGTGCTCCACTGGGAGTTAAACAGGGCAAGCGAGAGAGAGAGAGGTAGGTGCACAACTGGCTTTTATTAGAAAAAGAGAAAATTGCATTCAACAGCGATACCGTCAGAGGGGCTGGTGAACAGACATTCAAGTATTGTAAGTTGATAACAGGTCAAGGCAACTGGCAGAAAGGACTTAACAAAAACCCAATTCAAACTGCTGAACAATATTACAGTTTCCAATAAAAGAACATGCAACTGCAATAAGATATCTCTAACATATTGCATTTGTATTTATTGTAGTACAGAATTATATGAACATTGGAAAGAGCAAAGAATAAAAAATACCAGAAGGTCCTTGATTCATTATATTTTTTTAAACTTCTATCAAAATGACATATTTTGCCACCAGTAACAGAAACTTTTACAATCCCAGAAATGCAGTCACAGAACATACAAGGCAATGAGACCTTTTTCAGAACACCCAACAAAGAAAAGATACACCACCTGAATGGTAGACAAAAACTCATTATACTATACTCCGTTCTTTCATGCACTTAAAAATTTAATCACAAACTCACAAGGAAATAATGGTAGTTATTTAAAATGTTCCAATAACTGTAATACCATTCCTTGAAGCATGCTGAATGATATAAAAAACTTGAGCAACTTTGAATGGGTAATTACATGTAACCCAGAACCTAGACTATTAGAAAGAGAAGCAACGCTGAATGAACGCGTGTGAGATTTGAACTACAACAGCGAGCAATAAAAACTCACAAGAGACTGGTAAAAATAGAGTCCAGACAAAAAATCAGAATCAAGGTTCTAAGCAAACAGGAGCAGTAGAACTTATGGAAGCATTTATAGTTGCAAAGTAATACAATTCTTATATAAAGAGTGCCTTGCCCAATGCGCAGCGCAGCCCCGATGCGGCACGGGTTTCACTTTCTCCCTTCATGTAGTTATGAACATAATTTGTAGATTGGTGTGATGTCCCTTTGTGTGTTTTGATTCCTTATTTCCGGTTCTGAATTCGTTTTTCGTCTTCCCGTGAGAGGCAGTTGAGTCTGTCAGTAGCACAAAACATCGATTTGGAGAATTCAAGGTAAGATGTTTGCCTTCTTTTTTCTTGTTGCCAATAGCTTCTACAGCAATGTTTATCCATTTGAATGCTGGAAAGGATGTAAATCCGTTCAGGTGGCCATTCAAAGGGGTGCCGTGCCGCGCATTGTCAAGGGTTTTGACGAGGATGCCCAAGCGCGGCGGTAGGGTGCCGCGCTTTGGAACAGTTTTATACACAGCATCTAGGATGCCCAAAGTGCGGTAGGGTGGGAGAAAGGATAGATAGGCCTAGATCTAGACAATCTATTAAACTACTGTGCTTTAATTTAGATGGCGACACCCCCAAAAAGGACCAGGCCAACCAAACAACCAGTTCAGCCCAGCATGGACAGATGGTGATTTGAAAACGGCTATGGAAGCTGTGTTGAGTGGCGCCATGTCTCAAAGCAAAGCAGCAAATGTATTTGGTATTCCAAGGTCCACCCTCTTTGATAAACTGTCAGGGAGGAGGAAAGTGGTTCCCTCATCAAAAACTATGCCCTCCAGAGAACTTGAAGAAGAGATAGCCTGTTGAATTGTAGCCATGAGCAACGCTGACTTTGGGTGGGTTAACAAAAGCCAAGCTCTTCAAATCTGTTAAGACTATGTTGGACAGCAGAGGTATTACAACATCTTGGGTCAACAACAAGCCTAGCGAGAAGTGGTTTAGGTTGTTCAGAAAACGCAACCCCAAGTTTGTCACCAGGAAGCCTTGGAAAATCGGCAACATGCGTGCCGCTGTCCCTCGTGAGCAGATAGTGGCCTGGCACGAACAATTTGTGAAGAAGTTAAAGGAATTGGATGCTACAATTCTTCTAGAACAAGATCGCATTTTCAACTGCGATGAGTCAGGATTTGCCATTGATGCAACAGCGAACAAAATTTTAACTGACAGTCAGTCCAAATACACATACCAGGTTGGGAGTGAAACTCACACGATGATAATTGCCTTGGTGTGTTTCATCAGTCCCATGCTAATGTACCCCTGAACTCAATTTAGAAACTTTCGACCAGAGGATGTGTTCAAAGAATCCTTCATCGCGAAGAGTGAAAAAGGACAGATAACACAAGATCTGTTTAGTACATGGCTGGAGCAGAAATGTCCCTGACACCGCCCACCTGAAGAAACCGGTATTTCTCCTGGTAGATGGCCATGTCAGCCAGAAGTCCACGAAAGAGCCTACCAAGGTCTGCACAGACGACCAGGTCATCCTTTACTGTCTTCCTGCCACATCTTGCAGCCACTTGATGTTGGCGTGTTTCGGACTATGAAAGCTGAATGGAGAAATGCTATTAAGGAACACACCAGTGAGACAAACCAAGTTGTCACGAAATGAGGAGTTTACGAGAGGATTCTAAAAACTCAACTAGCTCGCTCAGCCGTTCGCAAAAGTGGTATTTTCTCACCTGACTTCATGAACGTGGATATGTCCAAGGTCGAGGCCAGCCCTGTACCATCGAGTCCTGCTGCAACTCCACCACCACTTGGGCCATCAACTCCCCAAACTGAACACCCCCCCGGCAGCAACTGTGTCAGCTACTACCAGCAGTGGACAGCAGAGTACCATTGAGAGCACATTATACAAATTTGCTGTGATCTGCAATCAGCTGCAAGAAGAGACATTGAATCTGTACTTCAAACGGTTGGAAGATGGCGCAAGGGTAACAGATCCTATGTATGATTTATGGAAGGTTTATCATGATGAATTGAAAAACCAGAATAGAAAATCTGAATCAGCAACCGTTTCCAAACTCATCCAGGATCCTCTCCGGGCACCCATTCCAATGATACAGTCAAAGAAAGGCAAGATGAAAAAGACAGTCAGATTTCCTGATTTTATGACAGGCGACGAGATGCTGGCATTACTTGAACAAAAGGAGCAGGATATTGATAAAAAAAAGAATGCTGGAACAAGAGAGAAAGAAGAAAGCAGCCGAGGAACGTAAGAAAGAAGTAGAGGTAAGAAAGAAGTAGAGGTGAGAAAGGCTCAGCAGCTCGAGGAGAAAAGGAAACAAAGTGAAGAAGCAGAAAAGATGAGAGAGGAAATAAAAGAAAGGAAGAAGCAGCTTGCACAGAAAAGGAAGAAACAGAGAGTGGAAGCAGAACAGAGGAAGAAAAGGCGATTGGAAGAAGCAGAAAGAAAGAAATTAAGCGACAAAAGCATTTGGATAGCATCTCGGGGAGAGTGAACAAGGGGGAAAAGGAAATTTTTTAATGAGTCAACAGACAGTGAGGACGAAAATGTTCAGATGGTCCTCGATGACGACTCAGATGTTACACTGTCGGAACCAGACAGTCTGTTTGACGAAATGGAAATGGCTCAGACTCTGAGTGATGCACTCTGCCCTGTTTGTGGGAAAGACACAGCTGACAAGTGGATCCAGTGTGACGGCTGCAACGCATGGTTTCACTATGGCTGCATCCAACACATCAATTTGGCCACACTTACACAGCAGGAGGTAGAAGAGATCTCCAGCTTCAGGTGTGACTTTTGCCTACAATCCACCAGATGGAAGGACAACTTTGTACATAGTGTATATAGAAATTTAGGTGAGGCCTCAATTTCTATTGCCCACATTTCATTTGCTCCTGTTGTGTCAAGGTTTTCCTTTGAAGTTGTATTCAATGGTGATGTTTCAGTTCAGAAACTGTTATTTTTATCTTTGTTCTGTGTTTTGACTCCATTAAAAACGTTTCTGTTGCATTCCAATGCTGTATGGTAAGTGCAGAGACTGTTCTGTTTGTTATGAAAAAGGCAAGGTATGGCCTTGTTTTAACACATGGACGCTAGTTTTTGTTAATTACTGCAAGCAATAAGCAACGGTGGCGTTGTGTTGATAACCTGCCGCGCTATGGGCAACACAATCTACATCTATGTTAACCTTTCCTCAATCTCTTTGTTGCCTTTAAGACGTGTATGACACTGTAATAAAAATGCTCAATTTTTAGCGTTTTCCACAGCATTGATATCCTAGAAGTTGCCAAAATTTGCAGTTCCCTGTTGCTCATACCCATAAGACGTTACACATACGCCCCACTAATCATCTAACTCTAATTTTTCTGCAATGAAATTCGCCACAAGCGCTGCATAAATTCGTCTTAGTAAAAAAAAAAAGCTCACACCTGTAACATAGTTGCTATCTAGAGTTACTTTGCTGCTAAGCTCACAAGTGATCTACAAACACAGGTCTACTCTTGCAGACCAAAGCATGCTTCCACAAAACGTAAATACTATAATGACTGAAAAAAGGCAACAAAGTTTTGCCTTTTGACTATAGACTTGCAATTTTTAAAAATGTGAAATTCAAAAGTATATTTGAAATCTGAATCATATAAACTTTCAGAATATAAATTTATGTATAATTTTAAAGAATTATCTTCAAATAACAGGCCATGCACATACCCCCCCAAAAAAAAATCTGTGAAAAAGCTTAGAAGTACATTGCTGTCTGAGTAGTAGCTAATGAGCTTAGCTGAAAATCAGTGCTGACAGTAGAAATGCACACCCCTGGCAACAAAGAGGTTAATAACCATGTTAAGTGCAAATTAATTAAACAAATTAAGACTCATGACAGACAGTTCCAGACTTATAAAAAAAAAAGAAGACAAGATCAAGTAATACATTCAATGGAAGCGCAAATCCCTCCCCTCCCAACAAAACTGCAAATCGGCTATTTCCTGGCTTTGACTTGGTTGAGGATGCGGCTGGATATGGCCTGTGTGTCCACATTCTTGTCCAGCTTAACGTACTTGCCTCTCTTAATTTCCACAACGGAGAGTAACTCTGGTGCCAGCTCCTTCAGTAAGCTGATGTGCTGCTCTACATCACCTGTGGACCACCAACAACATTTGTTGAGCTGCATTTTGAGGAATGGAAACATTTTATCACAAACAAGAGAGCAGACAAGAAATAGACCAAGTAGAAGCAGACCAACTGGTCAATCAATGGGGGGGGGGGGGGGGGGGACGACATCTATTTTATACAGGAGGGAGAAAACAGCCTCACCTCACTAATATGCATTGTCACACAAAAGGGCACAACAGTGTTTGTTGTCAACGTCATTTAGAAAAACATTGGTAGTGCACACTTGTGCTACAGCATCAATTCAATACAGCGACATGTGAAAATCACCCTGCCGGCCCCAAGTTAGAAGTGTGAACAACATTAAAAGAGCAGCGGGAAAGAAATGCCAGTGATTTAATTCTGATAGCAAACGGCAGCACCCCAACTCAGTGAATGATGCACTTTTCTAATTTGTAACTCCCAGCAACCCTGTATGAAAAAATCAACAGGGTGTTGTAGCCAGTCCAAAATAGAGAAGGGTGAATCTTAAAAAGTAAATTACATTTTTTGTCAAATATGTATAGCTAAAAATCTGCGCTACATATTCTCTAGGAAGGAGAACATATGTGAGGCAGCGTGGTGGAATCAGGCTCTTGTCAAAATAATCAAAGTGAAGAAACTTTTTTCCGCAGGTTTATGAATTATTATCAAATTTTAGTTTTTTGGCTCAACACCTTTCGTGCCCATTAAAGAACTAATTTCTGTCTTGATTTTTCTGAAAAACGTTGATTAAAGGCACAAAAAAAGTAAATTTTCAGTTACCACAGACTCTTAAGCTAAAGAAATAACTAATCTTTGGCGGCCATTTTCTCAATAATTTTACCTCTGAAAACAGGTGACTCTCACCTACTTCTTTTGCAAATATCTCGACTTGTATTCAAGATAAACGGATATTTTTTTCATCCAAATAAAGACAAGTGAACAAGCTTTAGGATGATACCAATAACTCTACATGCCCAAAAATTGACGAGAGCCTGATTCCACCTATGCATTCCTGGTAGATTACTACAATTTATTTTTTTTAGAAGAAAACCAAATGTGAAGATCAGACGTGTAAGTGGCCCTGAGTATTACGAAAAAGACGACGCATTTCCAGCCACTATTTGCATTTCCATACGGCTGTAAAACGAAGGTGTACGCAGCAAATGAATCCATGGCGGCCGGAAATGTGTTGTCTTTTTCCCAGTTCGCATTTAATTTCGTTCTTATATTGCCAAAATAGTAAATTTCGCCTGAAAATTTTTGCAGGCAGGAGACATTTGGTCGGAAACACCGCTGCCGGAAAAATTTGAAACAGCCAGAACACTCACACATCTGGAAGATGTAGAAGCAGAGGGGCTAATCATGGATGGATGAAGAGAAAGTGAGTGAAGAGGAGAGTGTGAAAAACTTTCAGATCATCACGGAAGAACAGTTCAAGTATTTCTATTACTAAAATTTTCTTTTGAACCAAAGAGTTTGCACATCATGTTACATAATTTAATGTATGCCAAGATTCTATGTATTCACGTGAAATGAAAAATTGCCATCAGATTCTGAATTGAATATTTCATCTAGATCCCTGCATCCATTTTCTAGATGTTTAGAGCAAATCGTATGCCTCAACTTTCTCAGAGGTAAAAGAAGACAACAATCTCCATAAGTCTGCCAGACACAATTTGTGCATATTTATCTCATTTGATACAGAGCTACAAAGGACATTACTTACGTAGAGAAATACCGCTTTTGTAACTTTCTTGCAACTTTTTATACACTGAATCAAGAGGCAGGGCTGGCTTTTTTTCTGTAACAAAATATCTGTCAATAGATTTAAGGAATATAACATTCAAAGAGACACACCCAATGCAGCATTATCACTCAAGAAGCATAGTGAAATCTTACCACGTAAAAGTTCAATCGACTAGAAACGAACAGAAGCACATTGACAGGATAACAATCAAGCCGGGAATAGAAGAATCGAAACAGAATCAGCAAGGAAAGAGAAAGAACAGGACACCCGCCCCCTCTCCCCCCCCCCCAAAAAAAAATCTAATGGATACCAGATATAAACAAAATAAAAAAAAAAAAGAAACAATAAAGTTATCTGTTCAGCTCAAAGTTGCTATAAAAAAAAATGAACACGCATCAAAAAGACAAACATTTGTGATTGAAGGATACGATCGTATAATCCTGATGATGTCAGGGAGATGACCCATCATCCTCGTCTTGTCGTCTTCTGCTGGGTCACGGGTCATGGCTTCCTGCATCTTTAAGGCTTCTTTTGCTCTGATCTGTTGGAAGAGGACAGGGACATTGAGTGTGAGAAAAAGTTTCTTGTTTTTTAAAGCTTGAAGTCTCCCAGTAACTATGTGTCTGCTATAATCCCTATAATATGCACAGCATCTAGCCCCCCCCCCCCATACCTCCACTCTCTTTACTGCTTCAGAAAAAGTGCTTGCGATTGTATATGAACACTTCGCCACAGTAGGATGCCAGGATTTTTCTTAGGATACAGTGGTGTTTGCCGAAGTGCAATACTCTTGGGAAGCAAAGCTTGGTTGCTGTTGGGCGGACATTGCAGCTAACTGAAGTTCCTGAGGGCACATTTTGATCGGTCCTACTCAAGAAAGCCACATTTTTTTTTCAACAATGGGTGACCATTCAACAATGGGTGACCATCTTAAATAATTTTGACCATACTATGGCATGAGAGGCAAGCACCTTGCCACTAAACCACTAGTCCAATTAAAATTTTTCAGAAAGTTCTGAAAAAAATCTAACTTTAACATTCTCAGAGGTAAAAATGACAATGACAATTTCCACTGATACGCCTTTTCAGTTTTGTTACATACGAAACATGTCGAGCAATACCTTCGCAAGCAATGCAGGTGGGATTCCCTTCAGGGACGGAGTATTCTGTGATGACGATGGTGATGACGACGAGGACACACTAGACTGAGAAGATGATGTGCTAGGAGTCGAGTTCTGTTTGACATGTTCTGTTTCTGATGTTTTGTTTGCGTCTGCTACCCGGGATAGTGCCGCTTCCACCTGTCAAGAAAAAATGGAAAACATTTAAGAGTCAAGTTTTTGAAATGGTACTCTACACAGTACAATTGGTTCATAGACAACATTTTATGAGAACAAGAGAAGCTATTGGTTGACAGGATCGTCTCCATTTGGCCATTACAAAAAAACAGTGAACAGAACAGGAAGAATATATTTTTCCATGGAGACTAATTCAGCTTTGGGGAAAATCAAAGTTCAAAATTTCCTTTTTTACTAAAAGACTGATTGATCTACTAAGAATAAATAACCTGTCCTCAGAGGAATTTGCGCCCACAACCTGCAACTTGGCACGCAACTTTTGCTGCCATTTCCCACAAAAGTTGGGAAAATAAAAATAAATTTTTTTAAATAACTGAAACCAGACCTGCCACCCATCCCAAGACACCTCGATTTTTTTCTGCCCCAAATCTCAAGCATCCCGATTTTGACCAAGTGTATCCTTATTTTTTGTCCCAGTCTGTTGTGCCAGATTTTCTGAAAATTTACTGTCTTCCGCTCTATTGCGGGAAGCACCCATTGAACGTTTTGTTAGTAGAAACTTGGAATAGAATTCCTTCACAATACAGTTACCCAGTGAATACCCTCATTTTCCACAATTTTCACTTCTGAATGTTGCATGTCACAACCTCGGAACACCACTTCAAATTATTCTTGATTTTCATAGTTTTAGCAAAACTTCTTTCACTGTGGCCCTTATCGCGTTCCCTTGCTGTAGAATCTTTGCATTAGTAATATCTCTAGATCTAGACAATAAATTTGCAAACAAGTTTCTTTCTGACAGTAATTTCCTGTCTAAGATCACAAGTCAATTTACTTGATCAACGCGCATATTTTCCAGCCGTGGCAACAGTTCGAAGATAGACGGAATGAGTGAATGATAGAAAGGAGGAAATTGGCACAAAAAGTTTGCCAGATTTTGATCAATCTGCAGGTAAAAATGTACTGCCGACCAACCAGCAATGAAATCATGGGGCACAGCCTAGGCTTTACCGAGAAAGCCTAGGGCGTAGCGGAATAATGGCTGATAGCAGGAAATGCGCAATCTCTCTGTAATTTTAACGTATTGCCGAGAGAATTGCTGTAAATACCCGTAACTTATGCAAGACGATACGAAGGCGAGAACGGATCTTTTGCTACGAAATTTCGGTAATCCTACGAAGTCGCAGTTTTTTTACGGTGGGAGTTGATAATGATGGAGGAACAAGTACGAAACTGGCAGAAAGTACTGATTTCCGTAAAAATACGGAAGAGCAGAAGCACTGCTATTGGTTGGTGTGTGTGTGTGTGTATGTATGTGTGTTTAGACATGCGGATTAGGAGTGTTTGACGTGATGCTTCAGGATTAAAACAAAATAATGATAAAACACACACAGGGCATATCTATTTATGGACACCCCTGGAGAAATGTTTACGTCAGTTTGGCAGTCACCTTGGTGATTTGCAGTTGATCCCGATTTTTTCCATCCAAATCCCCATCCCCCCAAAGATTCTGATTTTGAGATTTCATAGAGTGGCAGGTCTGCAGAAACTTTCTTCCACAAGCGGATTACGGAGAGAGAGAGAGAGGCATTCACTTGAACTGAATCATTATCTAGCTAGATTTAGATCTACAGTAAATCAATTGTAAACATGATGTTGTGCCATCCTTTTCTGGTGTACCTTTGCATTACATTTTTACCACATGCACATCAGCTGACATGGATCGAAGCTCTCTCTACAAACTGTTGGTTAACTGTAGAAGCAGGTCTCAGTCAGAAGAAACAATCAAGTCCCCTTTTATTCCTGTATTACAACCACTTTGCAGATTTTGATTTTTCCAACTTAATTTTTCATTTTGTATCTATATCTAGACCTAGTCTACTTTGAATCCTGCATAGAGACATTTCCAACAAGCATTTTTATCTGCATAAAGACATTTCCAACAAGCATTTTTATGACAATCTATGTGAATAGACTTCTATATTTCATACATATGACATTTGCTAGTGCACAAACCAGTTTTTTTATAGACACTCACATTTACTTTTGATTTTGATCTAACAAAACTAATGTTGGTTACTTTGATCGCAAAGAGTATACCAACAATGAATTCCATGACATTTTTTTTTTTAGCTATACCCGTCTTGCAACTTTTCCTAATTTTTCTTGCAACTTTTGCTATTTTTAAAAGCAACTTTCTACGGAGACAGAATAATGGGGAAAAGAAAAGTACATACACGTGGATTCAGCTTCCCCCGCTGTTTTTCTAAAACATCTTTGGCAGAGTGATAGACCAGCACTTCTGGGGGTTGAGGTAGAGGTGACACAGCCACCTCCGGAACTTTATCCAACTGGAAACGTGGGTGCCATCTAGTGATTTTGTCATCGGGTATGACAATTGGTGGGCTCAAGCTGGAGAGAAATGTCTGGGAACAGAACAGTTAAAGTGTTAAAAATATGTTCAATCTAAATAAGAGAGTCCACACTCAACTACTGAAAAAAGAGTAACAATAATTACCCCGTCATGTATAATACGAACATATATGTTCATGTAAGCTTCTAGGGGTTAATAACAAAATGATTTAAGTTGCAGATTCAACAATGTGCACCCATCAAAGGAGTTGTCTTTAAAAAAAAAATCCAGGTTTCCAGTACTCTTTCCAAATGTAAGTCTAGATCTAGGGGGTAGCAGACTAAAGACAAGACTGGAATAGCACTGAGGAGACTGATTAACAAGGCACACTTTTTTCTGATTCAGAGCTACTTTTTGAGCCTGACCAGCAGAAAGCAGATTATCAGCAGGTACACCAGAATTGTCAAACTTTACTCCAGAAAATGCACCTTCTCTAGCCCCAAACTCTTCTGATATATCAGAGACGTTTTGAGGCCATTTTCACCCCTGTAGTTCACTGTTCAGTCTGTAAAGTTTCAGCATTGAGGAAACCATTCCTACTTGTGAGAGTCTCGCAACAAAACAAAGTGTTAACACCCCGAAAGCAATGGAACTTGAAATGAAACTAGCCTTGTATCATTCACACATGCATGGGGCATGGCAGTGCAGCCAGTGGCCCCCCTCGCACCTGTGCGGGATCTGACTTAAGCGATTAAATTGAATAAGAAATTCAAAATAATTAAAAGGTTAAAAACTCTGAGAACACAAAAGGCAATGTCTTATTATAACACAATTGTGAATCAAAGACCACACTGTCTGTACCTACATTTTGTAGTATTACATTTTATACATGGGAAAAAAAACAAAAACATCAAAAGATAGGGGTTGAGGGAAGAAATACCTTGTGATGTTGCTTGACACGGTCCACCAATCTCTTCTTGAAATCATTTTTCCTTTTGAGTAACATACTAGCAGTAAACACTGGCTTCCCCTCTGAATTTGTTTGTCCCATTTCTGTATCGGTACCAGCATCTGAGTGGAAAGAAAACAATAATAAGAACATACACACACCAAAAACAAAAAATGGTAAGCACATTATAAGTTTCAATATCAGACAACTTTTTTATCAGCCCACCCTTATTTTATAATAAATACAAAGAACATTCCATTACAAAATGTTATTACCCTAGCGAGTGGAAAGTTTGTATACACAGCCTTATGCAATTAATATCCGCATCATGACAAGACAGAATTTTAGCTACACTTCATAGTTTTTGAATGAAGGCAGGATTTCGAAATCTAATATTTTACTATCTAAAAGCAATACATTTTGACTATTACAAAATTCTATTTTTCTATAAAAGTCAGTTGAAAATTTTCAAGCCAAAAGCCTATCGGTACAGAGCCATTAACGTAAACAATATGCTGTAAAAAATTGTATAGGTCTAGGGATAAAGTTTTTCAAGAGAGTTATTTTTTTTATAAAGCATGCCGTAACAAAACACAATTTTGAGAAAAACAACCCCTCCAATTTCTATGCACAAATTTATCTATTTACAAATTCAATTAGGGTCCCCTATGTGTCGGTCTCAGGTTTCCAACGATACTTTTAGATACGAATGGCATGCAGATCAATGAATTGTGTCAGTTCCAACGACACTGCATAAAAGTACTTTTTGCTCTGCAGGAGGACTTGTTTCTGAGGCTCAAATTTCACTAATTTTCTGAGCGTTTACAAAACACACTATATACGCTTGAGCAATTTTTCAAGTTTTATGAACACTTTCATGCAAAACATGGGAAATGGATTCTTTATACAATTTCAAGCCAGAGAAGATCAAAATAAGTCTCTTGATATCTTATCACCAGACCAGTACTTCACTGGTGTGTTTTCCTAGGATTGCATTAAGCAGACCTGCCACACTATGAAATCTAAAAATCAGGATCTCAGTTGGGAAAAATCGGGATTAACGACAAATCACCAAGGTGACTGCCAAGATGACTAAAATTTTCCAGGAGTGTCCATATCCATGTATGCCCTCTGAGTGTGTGTGCGTGTGAGTGTGTTTTGTCATTATTTTTGGTCCAAGTGTGTGACCACACCCCACCCCCCAAGTCTTGAACTTCCATCAGCGGACGGTCCCCAATGCGCATGGAACCACACACCTAAGTCATGTGATGCAAACGTTCGGTAGAAACAGTTTTACGTTTTTAAAGTAACAGGTTCTGAACTATGAATAGTATTGATCATTTGTATGCGCAATTGAAACAGTTATCAGGCCATCCAACACAACTTGGGGCGAGTCAACAAACTAAATCCAGCATAGATATTTTGGAAAAGAGTGCTCCGAGCTCCTGCTGACAAAAAGTTTAACGGGTGCTTCCCACAACAGAAAAGATGACATAGTAAGTTTTTAGAAAAATCCAGGGCAACAGACGGCACAAAAAATTGGGATATACACGATCGAAATCGGGTTGCTTGAGATTTGAGTGGAAAAAATCAGGATAACCCGATTAAATCGGGATGAGTGGCAGGTCTGCTTAAGCTAGAAAAGACAACAAAGCTATGTGTTTTCCACAGCCCATGAAAGGCAAAGTTAAAGACTGCAAAAATTTTTTTGAACACTTCACTGTGAATAAGTTACCTTTGTTGCCCAGGTTAGGCTCCACAGTTAGCTGATATCCACTGACTTTTTTACCAAAAGCTGGAACATTTTTCTCTTGCCGAAATGTATATGCTTCAGGAGTGATTGTCTTTATCTGGCCTGCAGTCTTCTGTTCAAAATTCCTGAAAAAAAGATTAAATAATTGAGATAATTCATATTTCTAACAGATCAAAGAATCTTGAGATGGCACAATGTTCACACTACAAGAACAAAGTATGGTGAGTCTTACTCCCATTGCAACAAAATATAATTGAAAGAGGCAGTATCAGCAAATGTAATTTTCTCCTTTCACACCACAGATGAGGAGCTACTCTCCACTTGACATATAAGTGCAGTTGTTTCCTCACTGGGAGCTGAAATTAAGATGCATACACTGTAGTCAAATATCAAATACAGCCAATAGAGTAGAAACTTGCATAATAACACAATAAGTCCATCAGAGAATGGTCAAAAAAGAGGAACTCGTTGCCCCACAAACAAGCACAAAAACAACCCCCCACAAAAAATTTAATTACATTTGGTGCCAAGACGAATAAAAAGATGGTTTACACTTTTACCCCATCCGTACATCGTGTTTTACAACGTGGGGAACTCTGTGTCCCCACTTTTCAAAGAGGAAATTTATTCGTTAATCCGATCTGTACGCTTCGCATAGCAGTCTGTAAAAATGATTTTTTGAGAAATACTGAAAGTTTCAAAGAGATCTTCGCACTAGAAGTATTCTAAAACATGAAGAATACAACCCCTGGGGTAAAAAATGACCCTAGGCGTACAGATAGGCTTAATAAACAGAACAAAACACGCATGGTCTTCTCAGAAACCCGAACAGTCGCAAAACATGAGAATGGAATTAGGAATGGAAGAATCAAGCCAAACCCAACTCAATGCAAACCATCCCAAGCACATGAGATTTTTCTGGCGGGTCGTAATTACGGAAAAGCAAAGCAAATTTTTCACAAAAGGGGACAATTTCTGGCGGAAGGGAAAACACGGTTTCCGTTGGAAGAAAATGATCACCACTGGTCCATGGCATACTAACGCTTCAAATTTAAAGTTACATTTTCCGTATTCTAAAGAATTAAATGAAAGTAATTTCTACTTCAGCTCTGTGTTACCATTAAAATGAC